AATGGTGCGCGGGAAATTTCACGCGGCATGATCACTTTCCCAACGCAAGTCGTTTAACAACAGACACCGTATTTATTATCCCGCAACGGCTGCGGAGCGCTTGCACTGGCTGTGCCTTCAGAAAGAGGATCCTGCAAACCATGGCAATATGGACTGACAGAGTGCTTGCCCTACAGCCCTGATGTTCCGGCTAATAGAGTGCTTTATTGAGCTATGTATTGCATCACTCCCTGCTTCATGTCATGTTGACTGCACATCCCATGACGCAATGACACACTTTCTGCAACCGTTTTGTTTGAAAATTAGAAATTCGCAAAAAATCAATAGCATGGATCAGGATCGGCCACAGCCGTGGCAGGAACGGCCTCAGCATGGGCGATAAGGCACCAACAAATATCGTTGTGCGGAGTTACATTGTCAATTGCAGAACAGTGCGAAGCAGTTATCACGAACGACAAAAGCAGCATCTCGCCCACTTCAAGCCCGTCAAACTGGAAAGGCTGATCCTCCGGCATCACAGGTACATTTGGGGTGTTTGTTTCTTGCAAGCCACAACCGATTACAATTTAGGGACACGAGGCGGAACACGCACGGCTCCTCGAAGCCACCCCCTATCTCCGAGCGCCGCGGGCGTTTCCCGAAGCCTGCCTTCGCCGGAGTGGCGCTCTGCTGTTGGCCCGGCTATGCGTGTGCGCCACAGAACCTGCAGATGCAGCATGCAAACCGGGTGGGAGGGTTGATGCATGCAAGACGGCGCCAGCTTGACCAGGGTGGGGGCTGTTCACAACAAGCCGGCAAGGTAGGTGAACCCGGAGCGAAACCTACAACATGAGGTTGCCCTGGCAAGGGCTCCCAATGACGCACACCGCGGGAAGGCCCAGGGGCAGGCTGAGGCGGAGGCGGGCGCGGCGCACGTGCACGTTGTGGTCGTTGTGACACAGGTGGAGGCGGCGGTGGAGGTGGAGTAGGCACACGACTGTGCAAATGCTCTCTGTGAGCTGGACAGTCATCATCAAAACAACATGCTGAGCACGTGTTGGCAACCCAATGTCGTGGAGCAACATTACCACAACTCCTGCAGTACCTCCCAATTATGATACGTGCGCGTTTGCCCACTGGACCCGCGGCGTGGCAACGGCTCCCAACATGTTGCATTGACATGGCGCTGAGAGTTTTGGAAGCGTTGCGGGCGTGCGCGCCTTCTTGTCGGACTTGGCGCTGTAGGCTCAACATGTGATGCATCAGGCGGGGCGGGGGAGGGATGGAACACGGGTGGCATGTCGCGAATGTTGTTGATTGAGACGTACGCTGTAGGTGGGCGCCGGGGAGGGTTGCGTGGTACCAAGGTCCGTGCGCGAAGCGTCATCAAGTGGAAGTGTTGCAGCAGTTGTTTCTTGCAAGTTGGCCGTCATTGCATCTGCTGAGTCCGCCGTCCACGGAAGGCTGGCAACAGGCGGGCAGGTTGAGATGCATCACCGTGAAATGTAGCTCTTCGCTTTGCTACATGACAGAGTACCCCACAAAGCAGGCGCAGGCGACGAGCAAACGCGGCATGCCTTCAACACGAGCTTGAAGCGATCAGTGCGTTGAGCTTCTGAACAAATGTTTTCCAAAAGCATGCTCCCGTACCTTGTGAAATGGGCGCAGCCGTGCATAGCATGTGGCGCTGAGGTGCCATACTTGGGCTCAGAGACATGATCCGCATGCCAACGGCTAATTGCGGGCTCGCTCGCACGACGGGTCTCAGCTGTTGTTGCAGACACGGGTTCAGCACGGGCATCGTTGGAACGGAAGAAAAAAACGGAAACAGTCAGAGCACACAGTAAACGTGCAATTCTGGGAGCAGTGGAAATAAATGGTTTGATGCTGGATCTGGCTATTGCAAATCCGGCAGCGGCAACATGAGCCGCATTGGGCGCTCCTGCGCTGCACATACGCATGCTGCTGTAGATGAGGGAACAAATGTGGAGGGTTGAATGCGTGGGCAGGGGATCTGTTGCCTTTACCACGGTCAGGTGCTTCCCCGATTGCCTCCATCGCATGCGCGTCTGGTGGACTGGCGAGCATGGGTGCGGCAGTTGCAACGACTGAAGTAAACCCGGCTAGCTGCCTTGGTGTCGAACTCTGGACCCGGCCGTGTCCAGCTCACCAGATCTTGCAAGAGGTTCGGGACGTGTCCATGCTCGTCAATAATCGAGGGCATGATGCACCGGAATCTTAGGCGGGATCCAGGGGGTGTTGGGCACACAGATCTCCAACAGTTCCGCAAAAGCTTGGGCAAGATGACTGACATCATATAATTCGCGGCTGAGGCGCCTGCTCGACGCTTAAAACCAGGAACGGCGTGGCACCACCCCATTGCACAATCTTGGTGCAGCAGCCCGGCTGCGTGCAACTGAATGGGGCAGTAAGGAAGGGAATTGGTGGCAGTATTCTCACGCGCTGAAAAGAAATTGTGCTGGCAATGCTCCATGCGTCGCGGTTCGGGCACGCAAGTCGTAGTATGTGTGCCCACCTGCATGTGTCGTGCAACAAATCTAACATGAGCGTTTGCGGCCCATCGGATGGGCAATGCAGGTTGCATAGCCTCAGCATCACGGATTCTCGGATCAGACTGGCTCAGTGTTCTGCCGCCGCAAAAGTTGCACCCCCATTCACCCCCCCAACCCACGTGAACATAGGGCCAAGCGGTTCAAAAACTTGTTCCTGTCCAAAAAAAAGGCCGCGCAGGGCATCTGGCAGCTCCAGCTTTGATTACTCGAGCTGCAGCTCCGATTCGGGGAACTGAGATTTGCACGTTAAATTGGAAACACAGAATTAAGTTCTGAATGTATTCTTGCAGCAGTTTTGCGCAGGTCATTACATGTGTTCGCTCGTCCCCTTCCCTTTGCAGCCTGTGGCTTGAGGCATCAGCCATCATTGCGATTGCTTTTTGGAGTGAGAAATTATGGCTATGCCGAGAGGCCAGAGCTTTGCACACAGGGACCTTTCCATGCAGGCGTCGTCCTGTGTGAGCGCCGCTGCCGATTGGCGCAGCAGCCCGCCACGAGGCTGCCAGTGCCAGACGGCCGGCCCTCACCAGTACGGCAGGAAGTGTGCAAGGTAAGGACGATGGACGTCCACGCGTGCCGTCGCTGGGGCAGGGGAGGGGTGCGTCACGCAAAGCGATACCTCGAAATCAGAACAATCATGGAATTCTCCAGATTTGCTGTGGCCGTCACCGCACGTCAGCAACAACGCACGCAGTAAAGTTGTCAGGCCTGAAAAATGTGAGGTTGTATGGGGCCACAAACCAGTTGCGGAAACAACGCATTTGCAAGCAATGTGTGCAAATTCTTGCCCAGGACGACATAAAAGTTGACGATATCTGATTTTGTGCAAGCATCGAAAACTTACTACAGTTTTGGAGAATGCCTGAGCATGCTTGAGCTTTTGGGCAACCACCTTGCATGATAGGTTGTCCACTTGCGACCACATCCGTTTTAGCGCTGTTGTTTTTTGTCGCTGCCCTTGCTCTATGCGCGTAGCTTTTTCTGGAACACGGCCATGATTGTTTGGCTCGAAAGTTGGTAGGCTCGCGATGCGAGGCACAATATAGAGCCCAGCTTGCAGAGAGACATCGTGAGTTCCATGATAGGCGTCCGGGATCAGCCTCCTGCTGTCATGTTCTTGCTGAGGATAATGGGCGCCGGGGTGGCCACATGCTGCAATTCCTCATCCGACGTTCTTCAGCGTTTGGCATGGTTTAAATTCTTTGGTATTTCCTGAGAAGTGCTAGCAAGGGTTATTGCCTTCTGCCTTGTCAGCTTGTTGGCTTTTCCAAATCCAGTGAGATGTCTCTGGCTATCGTTCAACCCGGGACAAAACATTCTTGCCAAAAAAAATGCAAGTGATTCGTTCAATATGGCAAGTAAGCTGAATGAAAGGGAAAACCAACATGCTGACATTCATCCGGAATTCTGCTTGCCCGTCTGTGGCATCACGCATGTCATGCTATGCTGGGACTGTGGTGGTAGGTTGCGTTATGTTTCAATTCTTGCAGATTTTTGGTGCTGACTTATTCTACATCAAGGTTTTGGGATGTTACAGTTGTTTTAATTTCGTTGTGAGATCTTGGTTTGGAAGCGTGCACATGGACATGAAACCATGTGCGTGCCAAGAATGTGGTTTCGGTCACTTACGGGAAAGAAGCGACCATGCCCTTCTTAATTGGCATTTGGCTCTCAGGATTCGCCCGAGCTCAAAATCAGCTCAGCCGGCTTGGGGAGTCTTGGTTGGTCCGTTTTCGCTGCCAAATTCGAGCTATGCACCTCATGATTCAATGGGAAATGATGCAAGTGCAATCGGGGCAGACCAAGGACTGATGTGGTTTCAACTTCGTGCTCTAGCTGCGCATGTATGTGTTGGTGTGTAGTTGTGGGCATGTCGGCAATTTCACAAGTGATCCACCTGATTCATCATCAACGCATTGATCGCTTGGTGCTGAGGATGGTCGTTGTCGATGCCGCCCCCCAAGCCCCCGTGCAAGCTTTGGAAGGTCATTTATGTGCAAAACAATTTCTGACACCTAGGCCAAGGAATATGGAGCAAGATATTCCGCAAGAGCAACAGCGAGGAGGATTACCAGATCACCCACCAAGGCCCATACTATGCGTTGCAACCGCATTGCCTGCCTTCTGTGTGTGCCAGGCCCCGGGCCCGGAAAATACTACTGATCTTCCCATTTGCCCATTGCATGGGGTGACTCTGGCTTTTATGGAGGCGGCTTGGCAAACCATGTCGAATGCATTCAAACATTCGTAGTCGAAACAAGCTAGACACGCCGGATCATGCCGGCTCTGCAAGTTGAGTTCCAGGAGTTTGGCGAGAAGTACAAGTCCAAGGTGCTCGGCTGAACGAGAGTTCCGAACATGTTCTGGCTGAATAATGTTGGAACATGCTGAGCGGTGAGTGCTGCTGCAGGTCAGTGAAGCTGACTATTCAATAGGCCCATCCCCGCGATGTGGACTGTGTTACAATGGTACATGACTCGCGATGCCTTCATAGGTGGCTTGTGTTTCAAGATCATCAAGCCAACGACCATGTTCAAGGGTGGCAAGCACCCACGCAGCAATTATGATGTATTCTTGGGATGTAACTTCCTTAGGCTCTATTTCCGTTGTTTGGAGACACAGCACTTTAAACAAGACAATCTCAGAGCAAGTCGTTAAGCAACAAGCCGGAAGCGACAAGATCGTGCTGTGACTAGCTTGCTACTTCTGTGGGTGCTTCTGCCTCGCGATAGGCCCACTCAGTCGCAGTTTAGCCTTCGCATGTCGAGCCATTCCAAATCAAGAGCCAAGGTCGTCAAAGTAAAGCAGGTCATCATGGTATATTTCTAGGTGGTCGGCATGATGACTAGCCACGGCAAGAGCAAAAAGATCCAGCTTGTAGCGAGCCTGAAAGCTGCTTGAATGCAAGGCCTTGCATCTCAGCAGAAGAAGCTGATGAGCTTCTTTCTTATGCCGAGGCGGGTGTAGTGCTAGGCTTTCACGTCTTCACACTGGTAGGACTGCGTCAACCCCTGGTCCATTTCGAGCCGGAGAGAAACAAAAGTGAATTTTGTGTTCTGCTTGGGCATGTGACCCTCACGGCAGGTCGGTTTTCAGCAAGATCTGAAAGACCGACGCAAACAACCAGCTTTCATAGCAATGGCAGCTTCGTTGGCAAGAGCAAAGATGTCGTGGTCATGATGGATGCGTGAAGGTAGGCAATACGAATTTCATGCCACTACCAAGGCGCATCACTTTGTGTCGCATGCGTGGAGGCGAGGAGCACAAGCAATGATAGCACGTTAGCTTTCACTTCAGTGAAGCGAGAGAACTGTTGTCCTCTGATGTCTTGTGCTTTGATGACACTTGTAAGCGCTGGACCTGGTTGAGCTTGACAAGCTGACAGGTACAATTACAACAACTTCTTAGACGCACTTGCCACGTGGGATGCGCAGAAAGGCCTGGCAGCCTAAAGCACATCGTGTATTAGACCTACGAAGCTTGCGCAGCGCTTGCTTGCCGAAGGATCCGATGTCACCACGTATTTCTGGGTCGATGCATTTGCTCCGGGCTCTGCAAGATCTGTACGCCGTGTGACAGACCGTGTGATTGATGTGGGAGCAAATCTGCAATCCACGGCATACTGTGTATCACAGCTGAAGCATGGTGAAACATGTTCGGTTGGACAAAAGGTAGTCAATCAGCATATTGCTGATACATATCCTATGGAATGGTGGTCCACACGATTTGCACAAGCCGTGGGCTGCTTGCTCGCACAAATGTTTTCAAGTTGGTGCAGCTGCCTTAATTTTGCATGGCGTGAAGGCGACGTTGGCAGCACGATCCTTGTGTCCATGCCATGGGAGGCAATTTTGACAGGGCCTGGTAAAGACTTCTATATGGTCTGATCTGATCCTGAGAGAAGGACCCTGCCCCGCTGAAGCGCGTCTGGGTCATTTGGGAGATTTTCTGCGTGCACCAAACTGGAGCCCGGTTTGACATTGCCATGTCAGAAGCCCAGGCTGGACTTTGGGAAGTTGTCGGTTGTCGGCGAAGCATCTAAGGCCCAAGAAGGAGCTGGATGGCTTCAGAGCAGCTGGGAGCTCTTCTCGTTCCTTGGTTTCTTGAGACTTAGTTGGATTCCTTCTGAGGCCTTGATCACATCGTTTACCAAAGTGCAGACGGCTCTGAGCAAAGTGGATGTTGAGCTCAGCAGTGCTTTCCACAAGAGCCATCAGGATAGGCAGCGCTAAGTTACGGTACATTTGGACCAGCTGGAGGTCAGGGTAGATACAGCTGGTGTTTCTTTGCTGGGAGGACATGGTTCACGATGAGATCAGGCGAACAATAGGCCTTGGAAATGCCAAGGCCCTTGTCATTGCTGCGACCGTTCCTTGCTCTCCAGGATTCACGAAGCTCAATGAGATGGTTCAGCTGCGGATGACGCGCTGGCTTATAGGCATGGCAACTCGTGAGCTCGAGCCCGAGCCACCTTCGACTGCTTGAACCTGAAAGTGCCGGTATGGGCTATTGAGGCTCCAGAGCATGAAAGAACATGCCTCCGAAGCAAACTGGAAGGATCGCATGGGCCTTCAGGACCAGCACTGCTAGGGAGCTGCAAGCTGTGCTTCAACACAACCTTGTCTTCTGCAGGACAACTTGGCCCGCATGCTTCGAGAAAGCGGAAATTTTTCTGGCGCTGAATTCTATTTCAAGGAAAAGGGTTCCCTTGCTTGCCTTTCCCGAACGGAAAATGGCCTTGAAAAGTGCAGGAGTTGCTGAAGGAAGTTGAAGACAAACAGGGCAAGGAGGATGCAACTCAATGACGGAATTCAGCAACCACGTTCCTTGTGATTCTTATGGATGTCAGCCCAGCCTTCTTGGCCTGCTCTTGCTCTTACAGTTTCCAACAAGGCAATGACGATGAGTGCCCTCAACCAGCTGGCAGCCACTTGGCCAAGCACAGCCGCAAAGAAGGAATTTGCAGCCAAACGAAAGGATCTTGCATGCACACGCTGAAGGTGACGCTGCAGAAGGCCAACCACATAGACGAGGCCCCAGAGTTCTCGGTTATTATGCCGCCAGCTGACTGCATGATGCAAGAAACACATAAGAAACCAAGCGTAAGAAGCTTTGGTAGACTCCTGGCCCAGACATTGATCAGCTAACCTCTGCCAGACTTGGGCAGTGCGTGCAAGCGTGACTGCTTCGGACATCCAACCGCAGAACCGCCTGCCGCAGGCCATGGAGCGGCACCGTGATTGCCTGCAGCGCCGTCGACAAGTCCTTGGGGAGAACCACGAGGCCATCTTGTCGTAGGTTTTGGGTTTGACGTTTGTAGTGTAGATTTGAGCAGTGGGGACGCGTTGACATCAGGAGACGCTCCAGAGCGTCTCCAACTTGGCCGTGCTGCTCAGCCTGCGAAGGCCCTCCTGCGAGCAGTGCAAAGCTTTCTGAGCCCACAGCGAGTGAGAACTGGCGTAGGCCGTTGACTGTTGAGATTTTCGATGAAGCACGATCTCTGTACAGCGTCTTGGTAGCATGCTGTGCAAATTTAGCAAAGGAGACTTCGCATGGCTAAGGTCTAGCCGTGAAAGGCAGGGAAGCAACGATTGGCGCGAAAGACCCCAGGACATTGTACACGCAGCGGGCATAGCTTCACTGCTGTCATGTTTGCAAAGTCAGTTCATGGCAGAATGCCCTGGGTGTGGGGAATTCAGTCGGCATCGGCAGCACCTGCAAGTTTCAATCACAGCCATCACCGGGCTTTGGACCCATTTTGAACCTGGTCGATCAACAAAAGATGTTGTATGGTGCTTGAGCTAGGTGAAAATGCTTTCTTGATGTAAATGCACAGCTTGGAAAGCTAGCGCGGTCCATGCCAGGGGGGTGGGAGAGGGAGGGCGGGCAGGGCGGCTGGGGGGGATTGAGGATGATAGAGGCAGGGTGGCAGTAAGCGGAAGCGCGTGCGGGGGAAGGAAGGGAAGCGAGGGGAGGGAAAGGCACGTCTGAGTCTCTACGCATTCCTTTGCCCAGGCAAAGCAATTTTGCGCGGTTTCTTTCTGAGGCAGCTATGTACCTGTAGTTGGGTCGCACCTCTTGCACAGCATGTTGTCAGGCGCCAGAACCTTCGACCCAACTCTTCGAAGAGTCTGAACAGCTCCATGCACGTGCAGTTGAAAATCTTACTGCGGCTTTGCAGCAGGCACCAGTTGAAATTTATAGCATGCTTTGTCGCTTGCGCGCTTGAAGCTGTAGCCTTGACAGGGACATCCGCTGACGTTGGCATCTCTTCATAACCAAGCCTGCTCCTGGATTGACCGCTGTCTTTTTGAAGAAGGCAGTCTCAAAGGACCACCACCACCACCACCACCACCACCATCATTGTTATCAGTATCAATGCTCATTCAAAGACTGCCCTCAGGACCTAGAGTTGATAAAGCCGTGGAACAGTGACTTGGAGACATTCTTGAATTCATCAGCATTCGTGCAGCTCGCATGGGGTACGTGCAGGCTTCGACTCGTGCACAAGCTTCGAATTGAGAAGCCTCCTGGCGTTGAGAGCAGATGGACGTAGACATGTGGAGAGTTTCATTTTTTTACGTGGCCGTTCTTGCTCTCCCAGGCTTGGCAAGGAACACCCAGACACGCAGCAAACTGAGAAGAAGATCTCTGAGATCAGCCACCTGCAGAAACAGTTGCGTTCTCAGTTTGGCTGGCGATCGCAAGTGATGACAGAGAAAGAGTAGAGGAGATGTGGGGTGCATCAGGATGGAGAAGGAAGGTGGCAACAATGCCAACATGGAGGCATTCGCCACATGGCAGGAGCAGAAGCAGGCATTTCAGAACCAGTCGTGCCAAGCTCACCGTTCAGGACTTATTCAAAGCTCACTTCGAAGAAGTGAGCACTGCTGAGCAGTTCAAACAGGCCCCATCCGTGGCCGGTCGTCAGCATGTGAAGGGTCAATTCACTCCATTGAGGTCCGCAGCTACATGTTTGATACAGGTGCGGATTTGGCCAGGGCCCATGGGCTATGACTCATAGCCTGACAAACATGGACTAAAGGGGCTAGCAGGGGGAGCCGAGCCAGGTTTTCGATGATCTGCTACATGCTGGTTTCCTTGATGAGGACGGCATGCTGACAACAGGCCACACAAATTCCCCTGTTGACCGAACCACGTGGTCCAGCCTTGGCACGGCAGGTATGCAGCCATATAATTTTATGGCTCGCATCATCACAGGCGACACGGTCCAGCAGCTCGCAGGAAATTTCTTCACATGCGCAAAGTGGTCTGTGTGCAAGAGGTTCGGTAATGCTGGAGCTCCTGAGGCGGAAATGCCAGATCGAGCAGGAATACCTGGGTGCACATAGATCCTTGGACTCAAGTCCCTGCATGACATGAACTGCCAGTGCTTATGGGCAGGCAGTTGGATAATAATGCTGACTCAGGCAGTCGCTTCATTATAGCGCACAACAAGCCGGAGAGCGAAGACATGCCACTTGCCAAGAACTGGCAGGTCAGTTGATCAAGGCCTTTTGAAGGCTTGCATGCTTTGTTTCGGGAGATTCCTTCGCCCTGCATGGCACCATGCTGTTGCTTCGGCAGTGTGCGATTGGAAAAAAAGTGTGTGGCGCAGCTGCCAACTGCCGACCCCAGAGCACAGCACCAGCTGCGCAAGCTTGGCGAACCATGGCGAACCCATGAAATAGATAATGGGGGTGGGCATTTTTTTTTTGTTTTTGTGGCTCCTGCTCATGTGTGGTGCCTATTGCTCTTCTCTCTGGTTCTACTTGCTGGTTTTTGCTTCTTGCCTTTTGCTGTTTTTGCTTCTTGCTTTCTGCTCTCTATGACCTTCTGCTGGTTGCTTTTAGCTTGACGCGTTTTGCTTTCTGTGTCTTATTTTTGCTTTCTGCTTTTTGCTTTTTGCTTTTATGTGTTTTGGACAGAAAGCACGAACGGTTGCAACAAAACTATTGCTATTACTACTGCTACTATTACTGTGACTCTTACTGAAGACTCTCACTATTCCAATTTATATAGT